TTTAAGTGAATGACCTTGAACAAACTTTCCGTTGTGTAACTTACATAGCATGACATACCGTGGATTGCTAACAAATACATTGTTGCACACATATCCCTTGTTCTACATTCATTTATGATTGAGTTAACTGAAGCCCAAATCGAATATTATCAACATTTATAGACTGTGATTGGGAATGTATCATACCTTACATTGGATTATATTATTGGAGAGTTCATCAACTTGATTGGAATTATCAAACATTTATAATTGTGGATTTTCAACACCAGACCAAATGCGGACACGCATCAATTTAGTGAATTTAAGTAAAGTCCCTATTTTCTATTGTATTTGTCGCTTTTTCGCCTAAATATCCGCCGAATTATCGCTTTTTCGCCTAAATATCTGCCGAATTGTCGCTTTTTCGCCTAAATATCCGCCGAATTGTCGCTTTTTCGCCTAAATATCCGCCGAATTGTCGCATTTTCGCCTAAATAACCGCTGAATAGTCACGTTTTCGCCTAAATATCCGCGGAATTTTCGCCTAAATATCCGCTGATTTGTCGCATATACGCCTAAATACACACATTACACCCCATTTTCTATCCATCGACAGAAGACCAAAGGTCTCTTGCATTCGCCTCTATTTTCAACAACAGACAAAAATATTTCTGCAATGCAGTTTAAAAGCGGTAAATTTTTTAAAAATTGTATTTAAAAAGAAAAGCCTATTATTGTACAACAGTAGAGCACAAGCTTAAGCATCCATTGTTATGCATATCCAATGCAATTGCTAATTCATTTTTATAGACAATTATCTGAAAAAGAAGGAACAGGTTATGTTTTATTCATAAGCAATGTCCATTTAATCAAAAGTTCACTCAAACACATTCTCAACAGCTTCCCATGTAAGTAAAAAAGTAAGCTGTTTGAAAGAAAAATGTTTATTGACATCGAGGTAGAACACCAAAACAATTGCACGGACTATTCGGAATTGAGGTAGTCGTCCTGTGAATTCTGAATTAAATAAAAAGGTCACAACCATATCTCAATGATGTGCTTTAGCACACCCAAATACTTGAAGCTGAACTTACGGTTATGTTCGTTAATATTGTTGACTGTAACTATAGAGCCGTAGGGAGGTTATCACTTTAAATCTGTACATACCTGGTTATCTTTTCTCCTAGAACGTTTTATCATCTTGTCTCGGATGTCGTGAAAGTAACCTTGGGTCGCGATGTCGTAGAGCTTACCAAGGTCTTTTTCGTTGACAGAGGATGACAAAAAGCGATGAGTCAAAGCACCTGAAGTTTAAGTAATAGATAAAGGTTACTTCGTATGCAGCCGTAAAACGTGCAATTCTGCAGTGCTCGTTTTGAAGAGGTGCCAAGTAACGTGAATTTACTGGCAACCTCAGGTGTCAACAGATACGACAGAACAAACCGCATGGACGCTTTTGGGTCGTCACTTGATAACCTAGTGACCATTGCCATCTGTAATCGTCACAAATAATTAAATTTATGTTAATGACTTACAAATCTGTCCCTCGTTTCTTTCTGCGACAAACCGGTATCAAGCATCTGCAGTTCCTCTTCAGATGACAAAGGAAACTGCTGACTGGACAGTCCGCAATCGAATTGATGCAGTTTTTCGCTTTCATGAAACTTCGATAGCAGTTGGTTAACATTAACATTCAAGTCAGTAATGGCGGACGACATGTTGTTAATCGTTTTCGTCAGTTCACTGATAGCTGACGACATGTTCAGCACCAGTGTATACAACCTTTCACTGCTGAAAAAGGTCACTACATGATGCAGGTAACTTACTTGTCCACTATAGCGCCGCCAACATGCTTACATTCCGATGTCGAAGGTGATGTCTCTAATTGTGTCGAACTAATTCGTGAATATCTAAATACTAATTAAACGTACTTGGCGATTGGCGACATTAATTTTTCGAAAACACGGAATTTTGGATATTGTACGGGGACATTCCTAGACTGCATCTCAGCAACATCCATGTCGACTGAATTGTAAAGAAAATCTTCTTTACGCTTCATTACACCTCTAGGAAATGTTAGTAAGATTATTGTACAGACCTTTTTGGCTTTTCAGTGTTAAGTGGCAAAGTGTTTTCATCCGTTGAGACTCCAGTATCTGTAGGGCAACTAACAGATCTTTTGCCGACTGGAGAGAATCTATGGTGAATTATCCATCCTGTGTATGTAACGTACCTAATTCGTGAATCGCTTTACATTTCATAAATGACCAATTTTCATTCGGTTGGTCGCTCTTCAGAAGATGTATATCTACATGCTCTTTCGGGAAAGCGCACAGTTCCTTTCCTACGATCCAATCTTTGTGTGCTACCATCAGTTGTTTTTTGCTCAGGACGTCAACAATGACGTATTTCTTGTTAGCAGGCTGAAAATAACATAAGACGTAATTAAATGATTTATCGTCATTAATAAACACTAGTGAAACAAAATGCATTTACAATAAAGTATGCAACAATGGGATTATAACTACATAATTGATACAGTTGATGGCTATACATTTACAATCAATGTCCTTAAGTGATATGCATGTGTGTTCATGGCTAACTACGGAGCACCTAAAAATTCCAATATCAGTAGATGGGAATGGATCTTCAAAGTAATTGCGTGGGTCAGTGAAAGTCCTAAACTTTAGTAGTCCATCCTCCTTAATATCAGTGATTAAACCTGGCTGGCCGTTCACTACTACTACATTATCAGGCTGACATGAAGTGATTTTACTACTGTTAAACATAATTACTTGTTTTGTAGAGACATCAGTTGCGCCTATTGGGGTAGCATTAGTTAAGCCACTAATTTGAAGCCTATCGCTGAAGGACATTCTCTCAGCATAACGCTGTGCTGCTTGCTTAGCCACTGCAAACCCACTACGCACGGAATCTTTAATTTGTCTCATATAAGACTCGAATGGAAATGACTTCTCTCGTTATTTCTATAAATTAAGTAAACAACATTGTTGAACTCAGTTACCTTTTATGGTGCTGTCATTAGCAAACTCACTAAACGAAAGAAAGTGAAATTTTTCATGAGAGCAGCTTTCATTTTATTCCACCTTCTGTTATAAGTGGATCTATGACAGCCAAGGGAACGTGACAAGTTCACAGTGGCCCTACGTCTACGAACATTCTCACTGACTTCAATATAACTCATAGTATTGGCCTTACAAGGTAATCAGTTACAATGAACATGAAAGTCTGAGAGCACGTCACTCAACTGCATCACGTAAGTTTTTTGTGATGGCTCCAAAGCATGTCGGAACACTTCAGCTAAACAACAAACGAAGTCACTCTGTGTGCGTATCAACCGAATGCCTGGTTCCGTATCTCGTAGATTGTTTCTATGACAATACTTTTGTTTCTTTACTAAGCGGCGCCTTAATTCGCCGAAGTCTATGGAAAATGCTGTTCCGGATGCGGTTTATTCAAAAACTGTACGTTACGTAGAATTGTCGACAAATTTCCCCCAAATACACGACGTAAGGGGGAAAAAGCGACATTTCCCCTAAATAACCGACGTAAAGGCGAAAAAGCGACATTTCCCCTTTATTTCCCCTTTCGTCCGCTTTATTTCCCCTTTTTTCCCCTTCATTTCCCCTTTTTGTGTTGCTTGGGTTAACTTATATATATTAACAGTACTATTGATCTAACTTTGATCTATTTTTGTCAATATTTTTTACGCTTGTACATTGTCTGGTCCACCACAAGTGGATAGCCATGACGAACAACAATTGAGGTAATCAATTCTGATGACAGTTCGACATAAGCTCTCACTCGACCAATTGTGTTCGAGTAGAGAGCTTTTACAAGGTAATGTACTTCTTTGGTACTCCTTTCAGTGACAAACACTGCCACAAAACCTCACGATCAACAGGGTTGAATGCCGCCTTAAAGTCGAGAAATACTGCGATTGTGGGGCGTCTTGATGTGTGTCTATGTTCTGGGACCTGACGTAGTGTGGATATCTGGTCCATACAACCACGTCCAAGTCGAGAACCAGCCTGATTTTCTGCAGTCTGTTCTTCACGAGCTTTAGTTGGACGTCGAAGTATTATTAAAGCTAATATTTTAGACACTATATTTGTCAATCTGATTCCTCTGTGATTGTCACAAGAGGACTTTTGTCCTTTCTTATAGACTGGCACAATCAGTGATTGATACCAGTCAGATGGGATTACGTCCAGTTCCCAAATTCTACCTAAGACCTCAGTTAATCTTCTTGTTAATACTGGACCACCATCCTTAAAAATCTAATGAGTAAACCTGTCAGGGCCTGCTACTCTCCCTCTCTTCAGATTTCCTATGGCTTTTACAACTTCGTAAAGAGACGGAGGACCTACATTAACTTGCCATTCAGGTTGACTGGAGGTCGTGTGAAACCGAAGTGTGATTGAAGGCCAGTTGAACTGATCCCTAAAGTGTTCTACCCATCGATCCAATCTCCTGGATTGAGAAACTATAATGTATCCGTCGTTTTCTGAGAAAGTTTCTCTAACAGTTGAGTTCGTAATACCGGTTTCCTTAAAAAGTCTGAACAATCGATTGCTATTATCTATTGCCGCTGACCTTTCCATCTCTCCTGCTTTCAAAATATATATACAAATATATTTTTGTTGATATGGGCTTACTTTGTTTTTACATCAAAGGCATTCTTTATGTTTGGATTAAATTTCAATGTAAGATTAATGAAATTAACCTAGCTTGGCATCATTATTTGCGCTTGTTAACCCTCGTGAGAAGCTTAGGCCGCCCTACCAGAATTCTTCCTGGAACTCTGTTCTGAAAAATCCTTTCCAGTTGCGATTGATTCTTTCGATGTTTGCTTCTGATCCTCCCTTTCATTGCAATTTAGGACATGCCTCGCGATTCAGTTTGATGATTTACGCAATACATGTCTTATCCAGCGTCTTTCCCTAATTTCCTCTTCATTAAGAAGCTAGTTTGTTCTCTCGCACAGTTGGCTGTTGCTGATGGTATCCGGCATACGGACATTCAATATTTTACGTAAGCAATTGTTTATAAATACTTGTGCATTTTTGATGATGGTTGTTATATTTCTCGAGGTAGAACTGTCTTCACGTTGGTAATAATAAGCTAGAAAAACGTCATAGTATGATATCAAAATATGAGTAGAGGCTGTCAAAATTAGCTGTTTAATTTATTTAATTCAGTTGATGGAAATATAATAACTGTCAGTATTAATCAGTGCTATTAACAATAAAACGTTATTACACAATATTCGAATGCACTGAACGAACACTTTTGTGGGGATAACCAATTTATCATTTAACGTCAAATATCACAATGCTTTCGCGAAATTAAGTCCTTTATTTTCAGGTCTCCTTTCAGTTGTCCTGTACATACTTCTTCATTCCTCATATTCGCCTGTCATTCCAATTCCTCACCGTTTCCTTTTCTGTTAGCGGGACATAGACTAGATTAAAGCATGCTAAATGCACGATTGCTTTGGCGCACGCTGATAGGCTTATTCTTATCCAAACAGCATTAATCAACACTTAGTGAACACTCCAGAATTTTCTCATGTAAAAACTATAAATATACTAACGTTTTCCCTATTGTGCTGCTGACTTGCTTCTTACTTCCATCTAACCTTGTTATTTGGAATATAATCTCTTTCCTGTTCAACCGTTTTCTGATTTGGGGACTTGTCGAGTGATTCGGTGTCCGAGAATACTAAGCAAACCGAATAGCTGGGCTATAACCGTAAGAAAGAGGTTATAACATTTTCGTAATTCAATCTGAAACTTTTGCTAAAAGGCACTGTATTTCATTTTGGTATTACATACTACTTATATCTGTCAAAATAAGTAGCATACATCACGCGTTTATCTGTTTTTTAATGGTTGAATTAATCAAGTGTGATTTAAATGGATTGATGTGAACCTCAGAACACCATACAATTCATCACATTTTATGCTGTTTGTACTTTTGTTCCTTTACACTATTGTAGATGGAATTTCATCAGCTTTCGCTTCGTCATCATTCTCATCTATTTTATCATTGTCATCATTTAGATCTGTATTATCAAATAATAATAATTTATTATTAGCTACTGGGTCAGCATGTCCATCAAATCCTGGAATTGTATTTAGTCATGATTATTTATTAGTGGATGATCGTATATCTAATGTTTATGACGGTACAGTTAACAATATGCCAATAATTCGTTTTTGTTTAATCAATAATTCCACATTGAAAACAATCGCCACAAAGACAAAAACAAAATTACCAGAAGTAGAAATGATCAATTCATCATTATCTTCTTCTTCTTCCTCGATCTCCTCTGGATCATTTTCATTGAATTCAATAGATTATAATAAATTATATGCACCAGATGAATCATATTTAGTTGGGCAAATTTATGGTCTAATCAGTAATGTATACGGTTTACAGTTTACATCAAATTGAAATTTATTAGATCCATATAATATTCATGGAAAAGGCATAGTGTTAGAATATATTGGTAAGCGTTAGTTTGTTTTTTGTTTATTACAGAGATTGTTTATGTTATACACATGATGGACTGATTGTAGACAGATAATAATTGAAAATGAGGAAACATTAAATGGCTATTTCATTCATTGTAGCATTGAACTGTTCAGTATTTTACTCTGATGAACCATTGAAAGAATTTCAGACTTGATAGCGAGACATAAATCCTTATACTAACCAGTTGGGACCTAATGGTTGATGCTTGTGAAGACAGTCAGTCAACTTACAACATTACGAAATCATTATCTAGTGATATTGATGTGTAGTTGCCTCAGACCCGATATAACCGAACTACATTGATCATAGCCTGTTACTAGAACTGTAGGCGTTACTTCTCGAAATTACTCATTACTGAGGCTTGCTGCAAGCTGACTCAAGTTAAAAACGTAAACCTGATATGTAGCTGATGAAAATACTAATTGATTGTTTACCTGGTCAGACTAGTAGATGGTCTGACAAGTATTAGATGTGTCACATGTTTTCTATCACATTATTATTTCTTATCGTTCGTTATTGTCGTTGAAACATTCTCACGTTCTAGTGTGATCAGTCACGTGTTCGTGATCGAAATCGCATTGAAGTCCTGTAGAATAGACACTGTCATGGTATCGTGTGTAGATATTTGTCTCATTCGTGTAATGAAGAAATTCGAGCGTCATTTCAGAACGATCGTTCTTGACTCAGCGGTCTAAAGCTTATACAGAAGCTGTCAAGTGTTTTGTTTTTGAACTTGATCTATGTTAGGCTTGTGGATTTATACTATTCAGAAGTCTTATATTAAAGACGAAACAGTTGTCTAGTGCCTACTGGTTTTCAATGATTGTTTTGTTACAGTAACTTCATGATGTCAACTACAATATATAACTATTTATGTCATTGTGTTTTATGAATATGTCATAAATGTTTTACGAAGTATCGCATATCAGAGTGAAGTTTAATAAAGATCGAGTTTAAAAAAACTCTGTTCGTCTTGATATCTTGTATTAATTTCCACAATGAGAATTTTCGAAATTTTCGCGTTGACATCCGTTTGATGACTATCAAAAATCCATATACATTGAAACAAATGTATCCATTACCTTCAAGTCTCATCAATGAAAATGACACCATCTAACCATTGAATAATTTCAAATTTCGTCACCGATTGATGATGAATTGAAATGACGAAATCTTTAGGGATAATTAATTAAACTTCTATATGTAGTGCTGGTTGATTTACTGTTAGACAACAACAAGAAAATAACCGTAAATTTTGAATGCATTACAATGACTGAATATTGAAACTATTCTAGATCAACTCAAGTATAACACAGTCCTTTTATGAATATGAAATGAAAACCAACTTGAAGTTGTTCGAAGAATAAAAAACACATCACATTGAAACTTCAAAAATACTCAACGAAATCGTTGATTTTTATTGATTGGTTAATTCACTGGTTTATTTATTTATTTATTCAGTTAGTTGTTTGTTATGTTAGTGATTACTGCATGCTACTTCACCTCGTTTCACTTCACTCACCTTAACTTACCTTTCTAACTGAATACATCAACTGAGAGAAGTTAAATTGATTTTCTATAGTCTCTTTCTATTATCATAAAATGATGTATGAATGAATCGAAATTTCAATATATTATAGAATTTATTTGTATCCTCAGCATTACTAATAGTATGTATGTATGTAATGAATCTTTATCAACTAAGGTGATTGGGATGTTTGTTACATATAACCGATCAACACCTATCTTGACGGTGAATATTGTCTAGTTTAAGAGTAGATTTAAGTAAGCTGAAAGTGGCTAAACCAAGATGTGGCACTAGTCCATGAAGTCAGTAACAAGTGGAGTGAGTCATTAAAGTTGCTTGAGATTACTGCGTTGGAGTCGGCGTGATTATCCTAAACGATGATTCGCAACTTTTGATGACAAATCAGGACTACTCACAATGGTCCATATACATTCACTCCTTGTTTTGCTTTAGAACCTAACCTTTGTCACAAAATCTCTTTATACCTTTTTTCTTTGCTTGTACCTAATCTTTCCTACTACTACAAATGTTATTACTACTCTGAGTAATCTGGGATTTGTGTCGATAATTTTATCTCTCTGTGCTAATAAGACATGACAACTTGAGCTGACGTACTTATGTATCAGATTCTACGTTGCACATGACTATAACTATGTAAGTGGAAGCTATAAGGCAGAATGTGATAGTAGAGACTGGGGAAAAATATTAAAAACAGATGAAGTTATTTTAATACAGACAAGGTGTTTTTGAATGCTGCTAGAGTTATGTGAACAGTTGATATTTCCCAGTTACCTACATTGACGAAAGATAGTTTTTTCTTGAGGTATCTGAAAAGAGTATTGAATAGGTAGTGATTTTGCCGACCTGGAAGGGTGACCGCTGACCCCAAGAGACAAATGTTTTAAGCCGATCAAACTGCTTTTTTCTGATTAGTTGTTAGTGTGTTGGTTCGGCACTTCATATTTTTATTTACCCACAATTATTTTGTTTGAGTTCAGTGGTATTTATAAGCGGAATTCAGGATGCTCGTTTCAAAAATAGTTAGATACAAACCCTTTTAAATAAAATTTCTAAACGTTGTACATGTAAGCGGCTATGTGACCTTTGTAGCTCATCAGAGTTAATGCGTTGGGCGTGAAGTAGTCGAACGCGTTGACAACTTCACTTATTTGGAAGTCTGATCAGACTTAATGGATTGGTATCGGACGAAATCTCAGCACGGATTCGAAGAGCTCGTTTGGCTTTTGCCAACTTACGTCACCTTTGGCGAAGGCGAGATATCCGTCTATCAATAAAAGGACGAGTATACTGTGCGGCAGTCCATTCTGTCTTACTTTACGGCAGCGAAACATGGCCTTTAAAAGTAGAAGACACCCGTAAGCTACTAGTATTTGACCACAGATGCCTTAGAAATATTGCTGGCGTCTGTTGGGATCACCGGGTAAGTAATAGTGAGGTTAGACGCAGGGTATTAGGAAAGGATGGTAAATCAGTTGATGAGGTTGTTAATCATCATCGACTGAGATGGTTGGGCCACGTGTTACGTATGCCTGAACACCGATTACCACGTCGTGCAATGCTAACGGGTGTTAGAGATGGTTGGAAGAGAATTAGGGGCGGCCAAACCAAAACGTGGCATCAGTGCTTGAAGACACTAACTTCTAGTCTGAGTCATGTTGGTAGATGCAGACTACTTGATTGGGTTCCGCGTGACTTTCGTAACCAATGGTTGGAGACTCTTGCTGACATAGCTCAGAATCGATCACAATGGCGTCGGTGTATACACTCCTAGTGTTCTTTTAAACTAAGAGAATAAAATCACTTCATATCTTTCTTTCTACTAACTAATTCTTTCTTCCTATGCTATATCCTTATATGCAATCTTTCTCTTATATATTACCACCTTTGACCTAACCACTCCTATGAATCCGGTGTTCATCTTGTTGTGCTGATGCGGTATTGCCACCTGGACCGATGCATATATGTGCCTGGTCCTACGTTGTAGCTGACTGACTGACTGATTTATTACTATCAGACTTGCACACTAAAATTGATGAGCATTTTTTTCAGTTAATAACAATATTGTTTAAGTTACAGACTGACTATTAGTTAAACTATCTTAGACAACCAAGCGGTATGACCTGATAGCTATTTCGTTCTACTATGGCTAGCAGTGAGATCCAATACACGCGTTTCATCCTGTTTGGGTTTTGTCAGCTGGATATATCTGCATTCCAGAGTCGGTGTTCACTCTGGTACTCGAGCTTACTACTGTCTGCTTGGAGGACCATCGGGTCATCCATTTAGCCACTGAGTTAGGATAGCCGCTCATTTGTGCAATGAGCTGACGTCTAATTCATAGAATACAAGTATATCCATGTGATGAGTCCTAAGTAAGACGTAACGCACGTTCTGGATTCCACTGTTAACTACTATCCATTTTTGCTTATAATGCTTGTAGCTTAAGGTAATATTGGAGATGGTCATATACTACTCAGAGACTGATCAATTCAAATCCTATACATGAATGAGAAGATTACAACAACCAGTACAAAGATGAATTAACGTTATATATATATTTGACTACAATTCGATCAGGTTGATTGTTTGTCTATTCAATGTACTTTTTATTAATCATATTTGAATAATTTTGATAGTTTTTAAGCCTTCACTTAGTTGATTGGTTTAATTACAAATCGTTCTTTGTTGTTCTGAACAACTTGATCAGAGTCATACAGAAGTTTGTGATAATCAAATGATCCAACTTATCCAAAATAACATCACATAAACACATTCATTACAGCCTAAATCCCTTTGGATTATTTTATAGAGTGAAAATGAAAATAGTGATGACCTGTTGTTTTGTTGTACTGCAAAGACTCTTCAGTGATACTAAACGTATTCAAGCCATCAATTGTTTAAATCATGAAATGATAGAACTAGTATTGAACTACTTGTTAGGGGATTCCAGTTACACATATTTCCGATTTTCAGTTAATATATGACATAATATGTGACCATTTAACACAGTGCATCAGTGCTAAAAATGTTTACAGCAATAACCCTTAGCAAAGCACATAATGGTGGTAGCTGATAGCTGTGTGTAAATTTGATAACAGTTTACGAACAACCGAAACCCGAACCAAGAGCAAACAATATGGAAACTGTTACGTTTAATTAAATGCACAAAACTGTGGATAACGGCTACAGCGATTGAGGTACAGTAATTATAATGATAAATGAAATGATAAGTACAATAAACGTTATGTGAACGTTTCAGAATATTACAGTACAACTTGCGCTACAACATAAGTGTGAAAATTGGTAGGAATACGACTGCTTACTGAATGTAAATAAGTAGTATAAAACAATATACAAAAGAGTGGAAAGGGAATGAGCGGGATCAATGTAAAACAAACTTAACACCAATATATATCTTGTAAATAAATATCATAATTACCAAGTAAGTTAGAAGAGAGAGAGAGAGATAGAGGGAGTGAGGGTGATTGAAACTAGATATGTATAGACAAGTAATAAATACTCAGTGAAAATAACTATCCTAATAATGATACATGTGATTTGCAACGATTAATGTGCCATAATACTTAAATTACATAAATACATAACTGTTCCAGTTAAAATGATTGTTACATTGAAAGAGAAGCGATAATTTTGTTTGATGTTGGTATTTTCCATGATTTAACATGGATTTGGGGGATATTATTAAAACATACGGTTCATTGTACAGATGCTTCATGGTAGAATGAGATTCCTCAGCAGTGCGTACTAACAATCTCAGCGTGGGTCGAAATTAAGTAGCTTCAAGTTTAACGGTCAACTTCGAGAGGAATTTGTGAAAGTTCTATTGAAAATTCGAGACGAGTGCAGTTCAACCGTGTCGGGTATGAGACATTTATGTTGCTAAGGTATTGCAAATAGTTTACAAATATCAAAATCTTTTGTTTTAATTCGTTTTTCCAGAAGCAATTAATATTAAGCATTTTCAACTTGGCCCATAAATACAGAGTGAAAAGCATGATAAACCTTTTTTTCATAATAAATTCTAACTGTAATTCAAGTGAATAAGTTTTAGAAAGATAGGTTTATTTGTAGGTTAAACTAGTCTCAGATTGACATTAGTTAGGGGAAGCATAGGTTTTGTCAGACGAAGGTTTCAACAGACAATCTCGCATTGATTGATAACTGATTGAATAGAAAATTCGTCAGTTCAATGTTTATTTTAAATTATCAATGGATGTCGGCTCAGTGATTTAGAAGTTAAGCGTTTGCGTGTGAGACCGATAGATCCTGAGTTTGAGTGTCGCGGGGCGGGGTCGTGAATACGCACTGCTAAGGAGTTTTACAATAATAAGACGAAACGGCAGTCCAGTGCTTCCATGTTTTCCATGGTGGTCTAGCTTTATTTGTCTCATGATCTCAACTATTAAAAATATTAATTTTTTGTTTAAAAGAAAAAGAATCAATAACACTTATTCATTTTTATTTACTTTATAGCTGATGAACGTGCCACATTTATTGCATAAATCACTAAACATTTATAAGAAACGGGACAAAAGCACAAAATTATTCTTAAATAGTAATCAATTGGATATGAACAATAGCAGTGATATGATGTTGAAGACTTCGACAACTATCGACCAATGAGAATTAAACACTACACACATTCATCATTGTATTTGAAAGCCGCCAATCATAATGATCAAGTTCCACATGTTTCATCAGGTAATTAAAACAAACCAGAGGGACACAGTTGTTTCCATTCAATTTTCAATATGTATATGTATGTTTATCAAGTACTCATGCAGTATAGCCACTGAACTAATAACTAATCATAATTATTATACTGATCGGTCTATAAACTAAATGGTGTATATTGTGATAATTATGTATAGAAAGGACTATTTTGACACCGACTAGTGTAACCATTTCATAATTATCTGGAAAAGTTGATAAAGGTCTGTCTATATGATGCATCTTTTTATCGTGTAATAAATGTGTAGTGAACAAGAACACCAATGGGGATAACTAAATTTATTTGAGTATAACATTACAGAATCTCTTAGTAAAATCTGAGAATCATACAGTAAATACTTCATTCGCAAAGTGTCAAATAATCGTTTCAGACTTGATTGTTCCTTCGTTTCTACACCAATCATTCTCTGTTTTCATTCTCTTTGATCTTCTTAACCTTCTACCACCAGGCATTTCACTTTCGATTGATGATACATACTACTTATATCAGTCGACATCAGAACACACCACAAATATATTAAATATATAAGTCCTAAAATAATCGAGTCTTTTTGTTTTCTTCTTCTTCTTCTTCTTCAGAGAACAGACAAAGTATAAGGAAATATACGAACCATAATTTTAGTGATTTGTAAGTTGATCAGTAATTAGATTGAATAAGTAAACATTAATTACAGATCTAAACACACATATATTGATAAGAGAAAGTAACTTGAAACTAATGTTGATAGTTCTTTATCAAGTATACACTTTTTTATATATAATTGTCTTTGAGTAACATTTTCATTGTATCAGAACTATCAGTGACACTACTGATTTACTACTGAAATCAAAGTCAATCGTGAATAGAACATGAATACCTGATTGATTGATGGATGGATGGATGGATGAACTGTGCAAGTATTAAAATGAACCCGCATATTTCAAATTTGTTATTGAATTGAATATAAATATAAATCCTAACTGTATATACTAATGCGGTGTTGTGTGAATAGCTTACACAATTTATCACGTTACTTCAATACTGAAAATGTTGCATCAAGCTACTCCAGTTGTTCGTATAATGTTCTCTTTATTATTATTAATCTTTTGATAAGTAAAAAGGAACAAAGACAAGTATATTGGAATTCATGTATTGAAAATCTGATGAGAAAAAGTGGTTGCAGCATCTGAACTGATAGAAAATTTTCATCATTAAAGATGAATCGACAGGTCCGGGCTACTGAAGTTTATCGTAATAATACACAACTGATGCTGAGAATTTGTTGCCGATGCACAATTTATAGTAATGAATATTGTTATTATGATCATAGAAGTCAGAATAGTTTAACGATCTGTCTGCAGTGCATCACTGAAAGTAGCAGTCTTAACAAAAGAACTATTTGATACTGAAAAATAATCAGCAATTATTTTTCTCAATAGTTGAAATCATGAGTCAATTGAAACTAGGACACCATGGAAAACGTGAAAGCACTAGACGGCCGTTTCATCTTAGTATGTGACTCCTCAGTAGTGCGCATTCACGATCCCGTCTCGCGAAATTCGAACCCAGGACCTATCTGTCTCGCGCTAGGTGCTTAACCAACTAGACCACCGACCCGGCTTCCAACGGTGTTAATGTCTAGCTTCAACCAATCCACGATTAATGTTAAATTCTGATGATACTTCTATAGAATGATGATCTTATGTGTAATTGTGTATGTGTATCACTTTGCTTTCTTATATGTACACAATGATTTTTTGTTTTAATTGAATGAATTAATATTGAAGAATAACTTCGGTGCTTGTCTTTTGAACATTGAATATTCATGTTCTTATATTGGTATGCAGATATGGTGTGGTATATCAGTTTATTCTCATTAACTACAAAATAATCTACGCATATATTGAATACTGTATGTTAAGTAAACTATACTTGCTACGTCAATCCTCATTTATCAATAAGGGTTGTAGGAATTATTGAAATTCATTTAATTCATGAAAGGATTTTTACAATCCTTTACCGATAATTATTGTTTTAATTAGTGAGAGAGAATTCCTGAAGTTCTTGTGATAAGCCGTAATTGGTGGAGTTGGACTGTGTTGAGTGTGATGCAGTTATCCACCAATGATGATGGAAGATGATCGCCTAATGCCCTGGATCGATTGAAATTAAACATTAACATCTTTAGATACTGAATCAGTGGTGCAGAGGTTTAACGTCCTCGAGAGACCAACGGCACTGAGTTCAAGTCACACATGCGGGATTGTAGATGCGCACTTCTGACGCGTCCTATACTGGGTATCGTACCTAGGACCTTATGAGCATACGACATATCAAATTTCAACTAATTCACGATAGTGTTTTCTACTTTGGTCTGAAATTCTCTTTGCTCTCCACTTTTCAACTATACTACTAACAATAATAATAACCCCATTAATATCTTTCTTTTTTTAAGTAAAATAACTTATCATGATAGGATGGTAAGTTCATATTGGTAAATCACTTTCAATGTGTCTGTAGGTATCTCTATGTTGGTTTGTACATGTGTGTTTGTGTGTGTGAGAATGTGCATGTAACGATGATACTCATAAAAGCTGACAACAGTTTCTCTAAGAGATTCTGTGAGGTAATAATAATGATAATAATGACAGTGATAACAATAAGGATAACAATGACAATCTTTATAATGTTAAATGTTCTAACTGATTTTATAAATGATCTTGTCATTCAGCATGTATTATGTTGGTTTATGCTTCAATTGTGTTCTTCAGTGAATAACTCTTTGTACCTGTGTAATGTTAACCCTATTGAAATGAGTTTATTATTACTATTATTCATAATTATTATGGTTAGTAGAATTCTGTGAATAATAATAACAACCAGGAATTTGTATTTGAACACGTTTTCTTCATTTAATGGTTCTAAATACGATCTGTTGCTTCTTTTTCTATATTTACTTATTTATTTACTTGTCTATGCAAATGTTAATCAATTATCTGTACAGTTAGTAGTTAAGGTTATTATTATTATCAGGAACTGATATTAGTCTGCTGAAAATATTGAAAGAACCTGGAAGTGATGGATAACTAATTTTGAGATAGTTCAAGAAGTCTGCATTCGATATTTTTCGATTTGGATAGATGCTCTTTCCGCGCCCTTGTCCAACCAGTTATCCTAGTCAAAAGGCTGAGAAGTGATTATGAACCTTTAACTGACAAAACCGAATAAGTAGTTACATAGATCATTGATAAGCATAGGTTTGTCCCTCTGACTGAGACAAGGAAATGTTGTCGAAGACATTGACTACGGGGATAATCGAATTTTTTCAATAACATATCTAGCTGATAATTTGTTGCCTACCCTTCGTCTTTGAAATTGCATTTCATTACAGGCGCGTAACATGCCTGAAGTGCACCAACTTGTCAATGTTACTCTGTAATTAGAAGATAACACATGTTTCTTTAATTATCATAAGATCTCTCATCCTTTATATTTCTGGTCAAAGGAATAAGGAAGCTTTTAAGATGACTTATATCAAATCAGAATTCATTGACGTCATGAATCGACAATGTTTAGACAATGAATAAACGTATACAAATCTAATGAACGATGGTTAATGTGCCAAATTTTATAGTTTTTTACTAAAGTAGCAGGCCCTATTCAAACAATGAAATAAATTATGAATGACCACTGTTGACAATGGTTTTAAACTACAGTTATATGCAAAGGTGAACATTGACTATCAGTGAAATCGCTTAAAACGCTATCGCGTTATCCACTTAGCTGCTAAGTCCTGATAGCCACTTACAGTTACATGTGTTAAATGTTTTCCGGTTTCTAATAATTGATTAGTCATTGATTAACTATTTTTGTTTTTAATATACTGGCGTAGTTAATTTATCTTTCATTCGTGTTCTGCATGTATTATTATTTATTTGAACACATAAATATTGGTACAAGGGGCACCAGATATATATGCGCCATATACCTAGAGCCTTTGAACTAACAGTCAATTCTGCAAAGCAGTGTAGTAACGTCAGGAGATGCAGTGCCATGGTACCCAGTGACCAATGATTAGTTCAAACGACATTTGTTCCCTCAGGATACTGGAATCTACGTACATCATTGGTTTGGAATCAGGGTTTTCCAACTCCCCTAGGTGGAATCTCCGTGTACACCAACCTGTTTGAAGCGCCAGATATTCACTTTTCGTCCTCTCAATTTCGTAAACACCAGTAATGACACGAGAAGGCAGTGAATAGGACTTCTTTTGGAGTGGTTTTATGCACGCGGCCATGTGAGAGCATTTCAAGAGGGAGAGCTGACTCCTCCCAGTCTCGGCCGTACCAGGGCATGTATATATTGCATAACTATATACAAATATATCTGTTTCTTTTCATTGAGTGAATTTAACCTTGAAAACATGACATTTTTATGTTTGTCCAATGTATGTTGACTTAATTACGCTTTATGTTTTATACTACTAATAAGCATACAGAGTTTAAACTCATTAATTCCTTAGAGTTGTTATAATCCTTTTATTTTAGCATATTTTCAATGGCGTTTTCTCCTAAGGAATGCATTATTTGTCAAACTTTTAACATTGTACTTGTTGTAATCATCTTGTATGTTTGAAAAAGTTGAATATATTTATATATGTTGCTTATTTTAATATAATCAACAGATGGATTAACCGCACTATTTGGTGCTTTCATGATATTAATTCACAAACAAATCTGAATTGTGTAAAGTGAAATCGACTTCTGTAGGTAGAATAGGATGTTCATGTGTAACACACATCTCTTTACAATACAGTCCTACAGGATATATGTGTATATACATGATTTTAGTTAATCAATATTGTGAATGAAGATTTTTCTAATAATGAACACTCCGCTTTATATCCAAATCCTACGTTGCATCAGTTTTGAACCATCCTTGGTAGTCCTTCTTCTTGCATCTCTATTGAATGTGAAATACTTGAAATACTTGATTCTTTTATATACTCTACACACTCTTTTCTTCTTCTTCTTCTTCAATAATTCGTAAACTATTACCAGTTATTTTGAATGTCAATGCCATCGTTTTTGTGTTCTGTGAATGATGCCGTGTATGGTCAGTTTTTACATCAATCATGTGTATCTGTAGAGATTTACCGATGAGTTATGCATCCAATCTATCTTGTTTTTGTCAAGTACATATTTTTGTACTTCACTTCAAGACTTACTCCAAAATGTATCACAACTAGTTGATACTACAATCCGAATTTGTTTGATCAATGAAGAGAGCATGTTCCAAACTTGCGGTTTATAGTCTGATAGTTCATAGTGCATGTTTGTTTGTTTGTTTGTTATTTGTCCACTGAATATTTGAAAAGGAACTATTTCTATTTCTTTGAAATGTATATTTATGAAAGTTCTTTTTCTCTTTATTTTTAGTTGCCTTAGGCTCTATACTTGGAATATGAATATTCCTTTTGGCCACTCTTCTTGTTGTCTATCGTCTAAAGCATAAGTAAGTTGTGGTTTTTTATTATATATATATTTGTGTATTGATGTGGGATGTAACGCTGTATGATGGTTGATTTGTCAGTGTATTTATACACATCAGTGGATGTCTAGTATACTTCTTTAACATGAATTATTTACCGACTCCATTTAATATTGATATATTTAATACTTGAATAATGTATACTGATTCTCTAACTTCATTCTAGTCCTTCTACATAGAAATGTCATACACTTATCACTTAAACAGAATGGAAAACGTGAGAGGTGTCAAATGAACAGTTGAATTCTGTGGTTTATGTATGACGATAATATGTTAGGAGCTTCGAGGTCGGTAATCATCCAATCAAGATATGATGCATAATGCATTGCTTTTGCTGAACTTCCTGAGAAGATCGCATTAAATACCGACTGCAAGAAATATACTTTTTAGACATTTCCTAGGTAGTGAATAATTTCTACCGACAATTTCTGTTTCATGGATCAATGTGAATGATAATGATTTACCATGGAAATATACACCACCAAGTAGAAATAGTTTTAGTAATGTTATTCGACGATCATCATCATTTTTCCGTAGTTTTAATCAAAGTAACTGATCGTTCACACCATCAAGATAACATAATAACAACAATAGTAATAGTTATGGATTACCTTATGAAAAATCATCTTTAAGGTCTTCATCATTCAATACATCACGTACAGAGATGATGCCATCAATGCCAGTATTACCTACATTGAATTATTTGGTTTTTACCATTGACCAGTCATTATCCGGTTAATAAACAACATTTTGATTCATTTCGATTAAATGGTCGTGTTGTTACTCATCCGTTGATGCAACCAGCTTTGCAATCAATGTCAGGTAGGTAAAATAGTTTTCCTTAACATTTTCGGTTAAGATTTTACACTACTTGCAAATAGTCATTCAATAACTATTGTAGTTATCCCCTTTGCGTTCAATATTGATTGACCTGCATTTCCAATTCATGTTTAATTGTTGCTGTAGAAGGTTTTGGACAGATTATTGAATGTCATGGATTATATCATGGACTACTACTAATAATTATTATAGGGTCACTTAGGGGTCGTTAGGTGAGGTAACTCTTGGGATGGAGGCTAGCCGCCTTCTGAGAGACCTGAATGTCTTGGCTTTACTTTGCAATTGGATCATGCATGCACACCACTGAGGAGTTACATATTAGGATGAAATTATTGTTCCATACCCTTTACTTTCTAAGATTATCTCTTTGAAATCGTGTTGAATTGTTTGCTTTCTTAAAAAGAGCTATTGGAGTGCAATGAGGTGAAATAACCCAGGAAGTGTTAATGATATGCATTCAACTTCCTTGACTGGTAAATCACATGTTAATGGTCGCATAAAACTTGTCAAAATTGAATACTTAGATTTTATAAGGCCGAAGATGTGGTGCATATTCTTAGCCAACAGTATTTTTAAAACAAGTTAAAAACAACTTGTGGTTATTATCATAACATAAACAATCATTGGAACTGATTAATTGTATTAAGAAAAACTAATGGCAGCTAGTCAATAAGGAAATAAACAATCAGTCAGTGTGTTTGTTTAGGGGCCATATTGTATAGTTTATCTCAAATTAAAAGGATTTAACTGAAGCCTTATAGTAAGTTTTAAGTAGTTCACATTATCCTGTCAATGATATGTGCATTGTAGAGACTCCCTGGTACTCGTTATGATAACCAACATCAATTTATATCGTTTATAAATTGAAGTTGATTAGGTGCTCAATGCAAGACCTCAGGCTCCTGGGATCCTATAGCCTCACTGTTTAGTTGTCACATACAAAAAAGAAACACCTGTCTCTCCAGTGTTTCCTTGTTTTCATTGGAAGTTTTACTCAGGTCAGTACTTGTCTTAAACTACAAAATTCGGTCATTTCTTTATTTTCAGAACAAGTTATATCTTTTCATTTTATGTTTCGTCCCTTTTCTCTCTTCATCTCACTAACAGAATCGAGTGATTGACACAGAAAACATAATTCTATCGCGAATATGTGGAGTACTCAAACAGTAAAACCATCATTAACCTCTACTTCAGTGACAGTAAAACAAGCGGCACCGAATTCAATGTACAATAGTTCATTTAATTATAACTAATTTGATTATATTGAAAAAGATGAATTAAATCATTTTCCATATCTAACAACTGATCCATATATGGAACCTGTTTCATTCATTGAAACGAAGACAACAACAAGAAAAACAACCGGGAAATTTGATCAATACAAAGAAAATCAATCTCATTGATCATTATGATGATATGGATCTGGATACAGCAGTGAATGAAAATGGTGATTAAATCAAATTAAATAGTAAGTTGCATAAGATGATGTTCAAAATAGAAATGACAGTATACTATAAACGTATATGATTAATACATAGAAGAACTTGTTGAGATTGTACAATTTTTGTGGCTTACATGATGGAATAGACGATCACTGCAAAGTACAAAGAATACTGGCATAACTGTTTCATCCTGGATTTTGACTACTAAATAATTGGGAAACAGCATGACACGACGATATTCAGTTTAATCTCCAGAATACTCGTGATCGGGCGATTTTTTAGCGCGTTAGTTTTCTACTGGATAAGGTCGTTAACCTCATGCCCAACCATCCTTCTTTATGAAAGTTTGGGACTGGAAGGATTCCAGGCGTATTCAGTTATGGATATTAGGTAGATAAAACAATTTACTACTCAAAAAATTAGAAAAAACGTCGAGTTATTTAATTCCAAGTTGGCAAAGTGTATGTAATCATAATCCTTAGTCGAATTAAAATTCATTCGCCCAAAACTGAATCAACCATGACAGCCTTTAGAGTACTGAACTTATGTTATTTGATTTTTGTTGTATACAGTTCGCAACGTGAAGTGTTGTTTCAGGTTAATGTCTTGAAAAACTGACTCTTTAGTAGTTACCGCAGTTATAAACCTATGGAATTCAGTCGACAGTTTCTAAACCTCAAGATTAATTGGTGAATTTGCAAGCTGAAATACATGTTCTATTATTGCTGTAGAAGTGAAATACGGTTGGGCTCAGTATCTGTGGTCTAGAGGTCAGGCGTTCGCGCGCGAGACCGAAGGTCCTGGATCGCAGTTCTGAGTGTAGGATTGTGAAAATCCTTTATTGAATAGTTTCATAATAGGACGAAATGGTCATCCAATGCTTTTAGGTTTTCAATGGCCGTTCAATATTGATCGTCGATTCATGATTTCAATGAGAATTTGTTTCAGTGAATTTTTATGAATTTGACTCAGTTGAAAATGTAGTACACAAGTTAATGCTTCTTACTTTTCATTCACTTATCATCAATACTAAATCTCAACAGCGTATGGTTTTACACAATATATAAATTATTTTTCTTTCAATTCATTGAATGACAACTGTTAGTCAGATTATAAAATTATAATGAATTACCTAATTTTGACAAAATCTAAATCATTTGGTTGATCACTGGGTAGTGATCAATGTCTGAGATAGAATTGGATCTGCACTAAGGAGGACCTGATCCACTTCACCTTGATAATTTACCAACCAGCAATCAATTATTTGTAAAAGAGGGAGGTTAGTCACGACCTGGATAGCTCAGTGACTATGAAGTTGGGTGACACGGGATCAGGTCGGTCAGGGAGCATCAGATTGTGGGTACACCTTGTTGATGAGCGCCCAGATAGCACGAAACCTAGGTCCAGGGTTCACTGTTGACCTTTTAACTGTAACCACCACCGCATATACATAGTTTATTTTTCAAGTGTATAAGCACATCTGCGGTAGCTGTTAAATGTTAAGATTTTTGACTATTTCGTCGTTTCACATGTTATCGAATGTCTCAATATACAATCGTGTTTTATTTAAATAGATTATAGAATTAGAATGAAATTACAGAATTTGATGATTAGTAAGTTGTTCAGTAAAGACAAACTGTATAAAGCTTAGACTAATTCAAGTTAATAGAAAGATGCAGCTTGGTACAGTGTAATTAGTACATTCAGCTGACGAGTTCCATGATTCGACGGAACGTGTGTCATGGATTGCACTACTAGACACCATCCATCTCTACTTATTATGCTTGTGACTTACTGTCAATATTGAGCCTATCCTCACAGACAGGATGAACATATGCCAATACGACAGATAGATCAATCACGGTCCTCAACATCAATGGGAAGGTTCAATCAACCTGAAGAACGACCTATACAAAAACGGAATTAATGCAACTGTAGTTATCTATTTAGTTTAATCCATAACTTATCAATTTATGCACTTTATTAGAAAAAAAAAACATTAAATTGATCGACTTTCATGTGGCAGTATGTAACACCAATCGGAAGTGTAACGCCTAGCAGCAGAAGACTGAGAAGATCGAATTGAAGAGAACAGGAATGTAAACAGAGAGTAATCGTAATAGCAATAGAATTGAAAGAATCATGAATCATGAGGAAGACAACTAAAGGATGATGTGCAAGTACTTTATTTTATGTATGGTTTTCACATCATAAAATGGCAATCCTCGATTCCGCATTAAACAATAAATTGGTCTGCTCCACCTGAATTCTTCGTTCACTACATATAGTCTAATATTGTGTCAACTTTCATCATTATCATTTGTCATTGATTTCTGTTTATAATTGTATTTTCTTCTTAGAATGTGATCAACATCTTGCATTCCACAGTGGAACAAGTTCAGCGATTAGTTCATTAGTATTCGCTGATGATGATGGTATTTCTAAAGTGTCAGAACATTCAATAAATAATCGAAAATCGGATCAACATAGTTCATTACACTGGATCACATCGCAAACTGTATTATCAAATGAAACTAATCCAATGAATAATAATAATAATTCTATAATAGATGTTACGACGGTTATTACCAATATTTGCACTAATACTACTACTACTAATAATAATAGTAAGAGAAATTTTGGTTCAATCGATTCATTATGTGAAACAGTGGATTTGCCTAGAACTAATTTACCGACCCCAATGTTAACAACGACAACAATGGTAAGTCAACAATTCATTGATTTCGTTTGCACATTCACCAATTAGTTTTAAGCTTTGGAAACTGTCGACTGAATTCTGTAGGTTAATAACTGTGGTAACTACTTAGGAGTCAAGGGAATATATTATATGGAAAAACCTGCCTGTGTGGTGTAACAATCAGCATGAAAGGCGAGATAAGCATGAGATAAATTTTGGTGGACCTAATTAGGCTTAGTGAGTGATCTTGAAATATTGTCTGTGACCTGATGAAAATAAAACTATCGTCAGTGTTTCCAATGCCTCAGAATGTAACACTTAATTCTCATATTGCAAATTTGAAAAATATTATGGTGTGTGCTACTGATATCCATAGATAAATGTAGTTGGTGTCATCAGTCGAAGGTGAAGTACTTGTCAGAAGGTGGTTAAAAGGAAAGAAAGAAGGAAAGAGGACGAGAACAGTGAATAATTGTTGCGGAATTAAAGGGACTGTGAAATGTGAGATGATTGATTGATATGTAACAAATTACGTATTTACAGTATGGTTTTGAAATATTAATGAGATGTGTAATTTTGTGTTCAAATAAATTCGACAGTGCAAATTTGTGTCTTTGTTCATAAAAACATTAATTCTGATCACACGAGGAGTATTAGTTACGTCAAGATTGAGGGTACACTTTAATAACTTTTACCAATCACCATAAAACCTGAATTCAAGGTTCCTTCAAACACTGAAAATTGTCTAATATATCTGTCTTATGAAATTATCTGAAAATGTGAATTTGAAATTTTCGAGACATGGCATACTTGGAATGCTTTATAAATATTCAACTACGATTGCATCCACTCAACGATGATCACCTGCATACTTACGCCTGTTGCCCTCAATCGAGTAATGCCCACCGACCAGCATTCTGCAACCCAATCTGACCTTGGCTTTTCTTTATATTTCGGTCATGTCTGTTATGACCTTGGGTATGTCTGGTTTCGCTATCACGCGACCTATCTACCAATCCGGATACGACTTATGCGAACTTCACACTAGGCCAACCAATGACGTTCAACCGGTGTGGGCAGTCTAGCGTCCTTGTTGGTCCTATGTACTACGAGCCCTTCCACTTGAGTCCAGAATACAATACCAGCTTCGAATTAGGGCAGATCGTTTATTTCAAACATACTCGGTTTATATATCAAACAAACAGACCACAACACACCATAAATTAGGAAATAACATATGTACACAAATAAGCCAAAAAGTGGCTGTGAACGAGGGGGACAGTAATTAATAGACTGAACATAGTTTAAGAACCGTAAATCGTACAATAATAAATTATAGATCAAAATAAAGCTTATAATAAGAGGGATATAAATATACATAATCTAATGATTGAATAGTTTTACAATAAGAATATTTATAGAATATTAGTCCACTAATAGTCCTCGGGAGTTACCTGTAATTTAATCTTCGCTCGGATATAACAATGTCTATCTTCGTTGCTTGTCTTATTGTGTCGTTTGGTCTTCCTCTTCTCCTTTGGCCTTGAAGAGTTCAGGTGAAGGTTTGCATTGTCATGAAATTGTATGCTTTCCTCAATGTGTGTCCTATCAACTTCCAGCGCTTCTTTCTCCGTTGGAATCTCGTTTGTTTTCTCCCATAGTAGGTTGTTGCTGATAAATGGATTCGAAGTATTGCGCGTGGACAACTGTTAATAAATATTTGTATCTTCTGTATGATAGCTTTCGTAGTTCTGCAGGTTTTCGCCCCATACAGTAGATTCGTTTTGACATTTGTATTGAAATTTCTGACTTTGGTGTTGGTTGACAATAGTTTTGAGTTCCAGATGCTCATGGGTTGTAAATATGCTGCCCTTCAATTGTTGGTTGACTAAAATTGATCGTGAGGTTTGTATGAGCTGCTCGATATTAGTTGAGTTAAGTGAGGCTGGTTTTAACATCCTCTATCGTCCTCCTGAACATCTTAATTAGTGCAGAAATGGTCAACTGGGTTCTGTGTATTGTGGTCCGGTGAATTCCATATGATTTTGTATTTGTGCTTATTTAGGAATATGGTGCTGCCTTTGACCAGTTTATTGAAGGCACAAAAGTTTGCAAATCTCTAGCCATCTTCGTTCATTTTCCCCCTAGTCCATGTCGCCGGATGATGTAGTCATACCCGGTGTTGTTCAATTTAAACTAGGCATTTGAGATACTCTTCAGAATGGTCAGGTCATTCGTACGCATTTCTCAACGATTGACTGTAACCTGTCGTATAATTAGTCTATAAATTCTTCATTGTAATCGTTGGTAGCCTCATAGCGTTCGTCATCCAATGCTATGTCCATCAATGAGTTACATTCGAAGATTCATTAGTAGAATCATTGAACAGATTATCTTCAGATGATAGACGATTTCATTTAATCATTTAGTACACCACAAAACGTTGGCTTCTTTCTATCGTGTAAAACCTTATTTGTAAACCAGCGTTTTACTCAATTCCATTTATGGCTGTCAATCAAACTGAATTTCGTACACATTCCACAATATCAACTGATTTAGTTGAATCAGGGAAAATAATTACGTCAACATTAGTGGAGTTATAAACTCCTGAACTAATTAACGTCCGATTAATAAAGATAAAAAATCCCAACCGTTATAACAATATCACAATTAGACATGAAGAATATTTACATAAAAAAAGACATTTATCTTAGCTTACAAGTCATTATTATTGGCTTTATTTTTGGTACAATACAAAGTTCTCAGCGCAAAGTATTTCAATAAGTTACCGTTTCTTATTACTTGATCGATCTTTGCGATAAATATTGAGTGGTCGCCAGTTAGATATTAGCAATTCAGCGTAAATTATCTGACCATTTAATTAACAAAAACATATTTCTGTTGACCTCAGTTATTGACAGAAATATCAGTGATTATAACTGTGTTGTCGTCAGTCACCTCACACCATCTCATTAATCAAATAATATGGTATTATTCTATATCATCTATTATGTATAATGGGCGTAATATGAATCTTATTTAGAATAAAAAAACAACATCGCTTTCTAATAATAACTTGATAATTAGCCACACGTTCAGAAAATAGATGAGTGAAATTCTCATTTTTCAAAAGATTACTACTTTCTATAAACAAAACGAAGTGAAAACAAATCTCTCGACTGCCAGTGCATAGAACGTCTTGCTCTAGCTGTGTGTAAACACTGTAGATATTCACTATATAATTTCAGATGAGTTTAGTGTTTGTTTCCTCAGAGAATCATCCATCTCTCACTTGCTCAGTTTATCAATCTATGCATCGCCCATTAATAATCCTGATTCTTTGAGACTCGACTAGTTATTACTTCCTGTGTATATCGGTGATAAAATCCACATCGCCTTCTGTGTTTCATTTTATATCAATCACTGTGACGGACAAACTCACCCTCATCCGATATTTTGAATAAATACATTTTACTATTGACCAAATGTATGTTTTCACTGAATACTGATTATGGATGCATATCATGGTTCAATGTGAGCGATCAAATTTTACATGAGGTTGAATACATTTTGACATGTCATTCAGTGCTAAAGTTTGCCCTCACTTTTCACCAGATTTGAGATGCGCGTGCAACCGTTTTCGTAGTTCTGCGTAGTGTCAATTGTTGTTCGATAATTGTCCTCATGTTGAATATAGATCAGATAAAGGCTAAAGTAATGAGTAGCATTTACAAATTGTCTAGTGAAGTGTGTTACTAAAATCAAGGTGAAATGAACTGCTGAAGAGCAGGACGTTCTCTTTTCGTCCTCCCATTTTCGTAAACAACACCCCCACCACGAGAAGTCAGTGAGTAGGACTTCCCTGACAGAGGCTATATACGCGTGGCCATGTGACAGCATTTCGAGAGCGAGAGGACTCTTTCCACTCTCGGCCATACCAGGGCATTTAGGGTGTTTCATACAAGAATGACATTCTTGCACTCATGCTAGTGAGATGTAGGGCGAGCGTTTCTCTCTATTTGGGACTCATTAGCTGTGTGTACTTGTATTTCAGTCTGTTATGTACATTAGACTCAAACCCAGTACTATCCTTATTGATAGTCAATGCATTACCAATTAAGCTACTAAATTATTGAACAGAAATAAAGTTATCAGTAAGGGTTTGTAAACTCCTGTTATTGATATTCAGTACTATAGCTAATCATTCTCTGTCACTATATGAACTAACTGTGGAGATTATCTTGTCAATATCGACTTGTTTATGTTTTTTGTAGTTTGGTTGGCTAAATTCATAGAGTATTACTAAATTTCATAACATTACTAATTTTATCAGCAATTTTCGTCTCACATTAATCATATTAGGGCTGGCATTGAAAATCATGCAGTGAAGGAGAACTGTTTCGTACTAGCCTAAGATTTCTCAGGAGTGCATATTCTTAACCATAAACCTAGGGATGTAATCCAAGCCAAGCAGTTATCATGACGAATGTACAACTGTTAGGATCATTGGCTTTTGGGTCCATTGATACATGTATCAAACGCCAATCAATTTACAATTTGGCACTATTGTCACCCAACAGCATTGGTCACATCTTCTGACTAGGACTCATTATAATTAAATCACTACTGAGCTTGTTATTAGTAGTTTGAACCAAACCATAACAAATATTGATTTCAAATCAATGTGATCTCCACAAAACACTAAGTCATTTAGATTTTTATTGTTGACGGAATATAAGACCCGACTTGATTTCTAGCCAGGTAAACGTAGTTGACAGATGACAGCCCACCTCACCATCCACAGATAACCAATCCAACAGTTCATTTCACAGTGATTTTAGTAACACACATCACAAGATAATTTATGAATGCCACTCATTACTTTCGTGTTTATCTGATCTGTATTCAACATGAGGACAGTTATCTCACAAAAATTGACATTAAGCAACAACAATCTGCGAAGCAGAACTACGAAAACGGTTGCACGCACTCTCAAATGAAATGTACCAACTTAAAGATGTATG